ACCAAGCAGCCCAGAGTGTGGGGTGGGGGGCTGGTGATGGTCAGATCACACAAGAAGAGCTGGAGTAATGAGCAGGTGGGACTCCCACCACTCAGCCAGTGGGGGCCTGTCCAAGTCTGCTTTTCTTGGGCCCCTCAGGGTATCACTAAAGACAGAAACTTCCAAATGGAAGTTTTTTAAACTTATTACAAAAAGATTTCAAACATAACAAAAATTAAAAAGACTAGTATCATGAACCCTGTGTTTCATCACTCGGCATCAAGAATTACATTACTGTCTTAGTCGGCCCAGGCTGTCATAGACTGGAGGCTAGAAGTCCAGATCAAGGTGCCAGCCAATTGGGTTCCTGGTGAGGATCCTCTTCTTGGCTAGCAGACAGCTCTCTTCTTGCTGTGTCCTCACATGTGGTAGGGGAGGGGGAGGAAGAATGAGAGAGAGAAAGAGAAAGCTCTTCTTTTTTTTTTTTTTTTTTACATCTTTATTGGAGTATAATTGCTTTACAATGGTGTGTTAGTTTCTGTTTTATAACAAAGTGAATCAGTTATACATATACATATGTTCCCATATCTCTTCCCTCTTGCGTCTCCCCCCTTCCACCCTCCATATCCCACCCCTCCAGGCAGTCACAAAGCACCCAGGTGATCTCCCTGTGCTATGCGGCTGCTTCCCACTAGCTATCTACCTTACGTTCTTCTTATAAAGGCACTAATCCCATCACGAGGACCGAACCCTCAATACCCCATCTCAAACTAAGTACCTCCCAAAGGCCCTACCTTCTAATTCCATCACATTGGGAGTTAGGGATTCAACTTATGAATTTGGGGGTGGACACAATTCAATCCATAGCAACTACACAAATCTTTGTTTTTTATCTAAACCTTCACTTTAACATGTTTTTTTACTATTTATTCATTTTTGCTGAAGTATTTTAAGGAAGAGATTACCGTGTCACAAAATGTATATAACCACAACGCTATTTTGTTCCAAACAAAAGTAACGTCTAATAATCAGTCCATATTAAAATTTCCCCAATCCTCTCAAAAAAATGCCCTTTAACATTTTATTTATCAAATCAGGATCTAGAGAATGTACACACATGTTGCATTTGGTTGTTGTCTTTTAAGTCTTTTAATAAATAACAGTCTCTCCCCCCCATTTTTATGCCATTTATTTGTTTAAAAAGCAGGAGGATGTGGAGTTGTTGGTCCTATAGAATTCCCAAGTATTGGGTTTAGAGCATTGCTTCTCTGTTCCTTTATCTATGTATTTCCCTGAAAACTGGTAGTTAAATCTAGACTTGAGTTCAAAACTTTTTATTCGAATATTTCATATGTAACTCGATATATTTCTTATGGCATCACATCAAGAGGCTCATAATTTCTAGCTGCCTCACTTTGATAGACGTTGAGATTGATCAGTGGGTCCTGATGTTGCCAAACTCATCCATCCATTATAAACTTCCCCTTCGACCTTTCATCTTATGGTTTTAGCATCCATTGATGATCTTTGCCTAGATCCATTTTTTCATTAGGATGTTGCAAAACAGTGGTTTCCCGATTCTACCATTTCTTCTGAATTTAATTACTGGAATTCTTCGATTAAAATGAATAGTCCTTCATCGACTATTTGTAGTTACATGAAATATGCTTCATACAAAAATAGCATACATATTGATGATTATTTCCCTCCTTCAGTGTTCAGAATAGTGAGTTGGTGCATTGGCAATCTGTCACAGTGACAAATTAGGTGTTGTATATTACCACTTGGAACTCATGGCTATTTTTTTTTTAATATTTATTATTTGTTTATTTGGTGGCACAGGGTCTTAGTTGTGGGAGGCAGGATCCTCAGTTGCGGCATGTGGGCTCCTTAGTTGTGACATGCATGTGGGCTCCAGTTCCCTGACCAGGAGTCGAACCCAGGCCCCCTGCATTGGGAGCACGGAGTCTTATCCACTGCGCCACTAGTCATGGCTTTTTATATATTTAATTTGTTTCAATCAATTTGATGTGATGTTAAAATTATCCCACTTTTGGCCTCTTCATATGGAATCCTAAACTTTTGCGCGGCCCCTGGTGGTCTTTGAAGGCCCTCACCTTTCTGGTCCTTCAAGATTCCCAGGCTTAATCTTGTGCATTTCTTGGCCCAGTCCAGAAATCAACCAACTCTTCAAGAATGTCTGTATCTTCTGGTGGGAAATGGTGTTTAGAGGCCACAGGCTAGGCTTCAGGATAGTCACTGGTATCAAGTTGCCATTGCTTCTAGGCTTTTCAGTGGTCAGACCCAGAAGGTAGAGATTTTCTTTAAAAAAAAAAAAGGAAAATAATTAATTGGTACAAACTTATACTTCCAATTCAAGTTTTCAGACCGCAAGGTTTTACTTAAGCTTTTGTTTTATACGTAAACATCTTTTCTCTCTTCCACTGGAAGTCGTGCTTCATGACATTAGCATCAGTCACTTACTTGCTTTAACCCGTCACATACATAAGATACTCTCGAAATAACTAGCAATATCACCAACAAGAAGGTGCTGGATATAGTTGCAGATTTCTTTGGTTTTTTTGTTTTGGGTTTGGTTTTGGAGGGAGGATGTGTTTGTGTGTTTGTCTTTGTTCTTAGAAGATATCCCACTCTGAATGTAGGACAAAATTCTGCATTTTAAAGCCACTTAAGTAATGTTTTGTTGTGTGCGGCTGGGTCACCAACTTGATAGAATTAGGCTCATTTGCCTTAGTTCTCAATCTCGACAGGTGTGTTTATTTACATATTTTTAAATTCTGGAACACATTTACATGGTTGCAAAGTCAAATTATAAAACAAGAAAAATCTCACTTCCGTCCCTGCCCCTCCCCCATAAATTACAGGTTTTTTTAGTTTTATTGAAAATAGACATATATGTGTATGTAAAAGTAACAAACTATAAGCACTTTTTTGGTCCCTCTTTTTTAAAAACTAAACAGTGCACCCTGAAGATCTCACCCATTCCACGCCTCTCTCTAGTTGTTCAGATGCCCTATGCCTTATTGAACACTCCCTCGTGGATGGTCACTACAGGTAAGTTTCTAATCTTTTCATTTTACAAACAATGTTGCAGTGAATGGCTTGTACATATGTCTTTTTGCCAGTGTATCTTTTTTTTTTTTTTTTTTTTTTTTTGCAGTTCGCGGGCCTCTCACTGCTGTGGCCTCTCCCATTGCGGAGCACAGGCTCCGGACGCGCAGGCTCAGCGGCCATGGCTCACGGGCCCAGCCGCTCTGTGGCATGTGGGATCTTCCTGGACCGGGGCAGAACCCGTGTCCCCTGAATCGGCAGGTGGACTCTCAACCGCTGCGCCACCAGGGAAGCCCACCAGTGTATCTTTGGGATAATTCCCTAGAAGTAGAATTGCTGAGCTAAATGGTATAGTGTGTGTCACTTGCTAGTTGCCGTCAGATCCCCTGCGTAGGGACTGAAACACCAAAACTGAATTTTAACAACATTCAAAAATGAGTAGGAAGACGCAGCACCCAATCTATCACCCACCTGGTGACCAGGCCAGCCTCCCGTTATTCTACCCAAGGGACAGGCCTGGATAGATCTCACGCAGGAACACCCACATCCTGGGAATCCTGGAAGGAACCATAAAACTCCATCATCTTTACTTTGGCTGGAATAACAGTTTAACAGGTAGCCCTGTTCACCTCAGGCTGAGCAGGAGCTCTGAGTGATCTGTTTTGTCTTCTTTGACTGATAAGACACTTAGAAGTTATTTCTTTGCATGCTTGGTTTGGTAGAGAAAATGTTTCAAGGCATGGATCCTAGTGGGGAATTATACCAGATGCTCAGCAAGGGGACATTATTAAATTCATTGGTTTATATGACCCTGGTAATCTTTCTTTACAAAAGGAAGGAAAATTAACATGGTTAAGATGCATTCGGTCTCTTACTCATTCGACCAACATGAATTGAACCCCCTCTCTGTCCCCTCTCTACTCCCACCTCTAGCCAGAATTAAAAACATGCACAGCCCGCAGGCTGAATCCAGCACACAGTTAGTTGTTTGAGGTTTGGCTCACACTATGTTTTTTGAAAAAAACAAAAAAAATTAGTCGCTAACATTTAAAATCAGGGGATTTGACATAAATATCCAGACTTCTAACATCTCTTGAAAATTTGCCAACCAGCCGCTGGTGGGAGCTGAGGAGCGACTGCCCCCAGTGGTAGGGCATGTGCCGCCCTGTGTCCCTGATGCCCGCCCAGCCCTTCCATTTATTTCTCTTGCCTCCTGGGTCGTGAGTTTGTGAGAACTGCCCTAGACTGCTAGCTCCCTGAAGATAAGGACCTCCTGTGTCTTACTTGACTTTGACTTTCCAGCATCTGACCTAGATCCCAGCACACAGGGTCCTCCGTGTATGTTTGTTGGACGATATAAAGTATCTTGTGGATGCATGTATCACATTTCTCCCAATAGTGAAACTGTGCAATTGTAATACTACTCTAGCCCAGACCTTTGATGCAGATTGACATCCTAGGTGCCCCTGATCTGTGCCATCTGTCCCACTACGTAAAGCCACTCATATGTCACTGGGCTGCCCCTAAAGTCTTCACTTTGCCATTTGAACTCTTTTCCTCCTAGCGATCTCTTCGCCAGCTGAGGACAGCAACGCACGCCTCATGAAGTTGCTCGGAAGACCACATGAGATCACGAATGTCAAGCATGGCCCCTAGCATTGACTTTTATCACGTTGTTAGCAGTGTTTTATCTCCAAGTTGGCAACAGTCTGCCCACTCTTAGTTAGTCCGTGCAGCTTAGTTTGGTTTTTCAGCCAAGCCCCAAGGAAGAGATTACAGTAGAAATCTCTGTATTCTGAGAATTTTCCAAGTCCACTCCCCACAGACACTGATGGAGGTAAAGATTTTATCGAGAGGTTCGTATTTCTAATCAGATCCATTAGTGGCCTAAGGGGGACAATTAGGGCATGTCAGAGCGTATATAACTAGGAACTCTTGGCCACCATTGCATGCTCAGAGCTCACTCTTTCCTGAGTACTTGGACCCAGAAAAGAAGCATGAAGTGGCTTGGGATCCTTGGGCTGGTGGCCCTCTCAGAGTGCCTAGTCATGTAAGTGCGGGGACTGTAAGTGGCATCATCTCTCTTTCTGGGGTCTTCCTTGTCCTCTTATTCTTCCACCCATCAGGGTTACAAGGGAATGTAATCATTCCCTGACAGTCTTAAAGTTCAACTCTCACTTATTGATGAGTACCGTGCCATGGGCAATATGGGGCCCAAGCGTCTTGGGGTAGGCCTGCAGGGCTGCACAACTCTGGGGGTACCGTCACATCATGACCTATGTGAAAATGGCACTCCTTGGGATTGCTCAGTGCACAACCTGTGCAACTGTAAATGTGGTCCTATGAACAGCATTTCTCCTGTGATTGCTTCTAGGTATTCTCTCTGCTCTCTCTGCATTTCTGTGTATGTGTCTGTGTCTTCATCTCTGTATCTCTCTCCTTTATCTCTCCATCCCCTTTGGATGTCTCTGTGCATGCAGAACTCTCTGAGTTTTCGTTTTTGTTTTCGTTTTGTTTTTCTATTTTGACTCTTCCTTGTTTCTCTAGCTTCTTAATTTCCCTAATTTATTCCCCATCTCCTGGCTTCCTCTCTCACCCCTCTCTTCTGCTTGAGCCCTGGAGAAAGATCTGGAAGGCTACTTCTAGGCTGATTTACCTCTAACAAGCAGTGTGACCACAGCCAAGTCGCAAACTCCCTGCATTTCAAATTCCTCCCTGTAAAAAGAGGGTAATGATCCCGCTTCGAACTCCTTCCCAGAACTTCTTAGAAAAAGATACAGTGGGATGGCAATAGCAATGGGAATGGCTGTCATTGCTGACACTTCTTACATATCAGGTACATTACATACATCATCTCACTTAATACCCAAAACATTCTATATGGGCGATGGGGGTTATTATATTCCATGTTTTTACCTACCCATGGGGAAACTGACTCCAAATGGTCATATGGCTTACCCAAGATTACACAACAGAACCTGTAGTCAAACCTAGGCATTAGCCATCGCCTTTGCATAGCGTCCTGATATGAGAGGACACTCATAAAAAATGCTTGGAATATACACAGTGCCATTACAATGCAAGGTATGACAGTCATACTATAACACAGACAGCTGATTGCTGACCCTTCTTTGTTTCCTTTCCCCAATGCTCGGTGAAAGAATCCCTCTAACAAAGATGAAGACCATGCGAGAAACCCTCAGGGAAAAAAACTTGCTGACAAACTTCCTGTTGAATAACAATGACGACAGGTCCCAGAATGTCGCTCATGACCCAAAATTGTCTCTTCATCCCCTGAGGAACTACCTGGATGTGAGTGTGTTGGGCGGATGGCACTCTACAGCGCCCCCTGGTGCTCTGGCCTGGCACTGGGGTTCATCTGGAGGCGCCAGGCGGTGTGGTGGGGCTAGGGCTCCTGCAGGAAGCAGAAACACTGGGGAATACGGACCCCATTCCCAGAGAAGAGGGCACTCTCATCCTCAACTCTTGGTCGGTGGTAACTGGGCTCAGCAGTGACCAGGTGGCAGGTAAACGCCCATTTCTTGCCAAAGATATGTCATTAGTTTGAGGGAGATTGTTCCTCCTGAACTAAGTGAGCCACTGAGTTACAGATGAAAGGTGAGCCATGTCTGATCCAAAGATAAAGCCAACTGCAACTCAAGATTGAAACCCCAAGCAGACAAAGTTCAGCCTCCACAGATCCAAGAAGGACACCGGTAAAAAGTTACTGAGCCCCTATGGCCTGTGACGCCATAAAAATCTAACACTATGGTTATTGTTATTGATTTTAAAAAAAGGTCTCGTCTCTTCCTCAAGAATGCATAGGACAGCCTGAGTGATAGGCAAAGAGTAAATACATGTCAAATAAAAGGGCCAGCAGCGTGGTGGTGATAGGACGTGGTCTGAGTTTAGAGGAGGTGGCCTGGGGTGACCTAGGAGGGCCAACTGGAGAAAGAAACAGGCTGGGCCTTAAAGGGGAGACTGGAGAGCTTCTCAAATGAACGCATCAGGACTCGCCTGGAGGTCCAGTGCTTAAGACTCTGCACTTCCACTGCAGGGGGACCGGGTTCGATCCCTGGTCAGGGAACTAAGAGCCCGCATGGAGGAAAAAAAAGAAAAAAATCAAATGAAGGCACTGGTCTGAGCAGAGGCTGTGAGGTGGGGCGGTTGGAAAGTGATCTCAGGAGACACGGGACACCTCGAGGGAAGCAGTACTCTGGGAATCGAGGGCGGCCAGGGCAGCCAGGTCTGACCACACCACCCCTCCCCGGCCCCTGTAGCTAGCCTATGTCGGCAACATCAGCATTGGAACGCCCCCTCAGCAGTTCAAGGTCGTCTTTGACACCGGCTCAGCTGACTTGTGGGTGCCTTCCACCTACTGCGACAGTGTCCCCTGCTGTGAGTACCTGCCCCCCCGCCCATCTTGTACTCCCCCTCCCACCCCCTTCTCCGTCCTTGGCACCTGACGGACACACATCTCTTGTGTCCGCAGATACACACAATGTCTTCAACCCTCACGTGTCCACCACCTTCCGGCTCTCGGGCATGCCCGTCGACCTCACCTACGGCTCCGGGAGGATGGTTGGATTTCTTGGCTACGACACTGTTCGGGTAACTGGAAACCAGAAGCCGAGTCAGGGCTGGCCCTGGGATCAACTGCAGCTTACAAAACAGATGCAGGGCCAACTGGGAGGGCCCGTCTTTCCCAAAGTCCCCTAGTGGCTGGCTGCCCACCCCACAGTGTTGTGTCCCTGGGGAGACAGTGTCCCTGCTGACACACAAACTCCCAGAATGGCTGAGCCAGAGAGTGGCTTGGGGTGTGGATTTGCAGCTCCTTTGCCCATGAGCAGCTCAAGGTTCATTTTGCTGGGAGCAGGGAGAGAGGGGAAAAAAGCACCCACTCTTATATCCTCAGGCTGTGCCAGGTACTTTCACGGTAATAACTCGTTTACTCCTGCAACAACCCCACATAGCAAGTGCTATGATTAGCTCCACTATACAGATGAGGGAACTGAGGTGCAGAAAGCCAGGGCCTTGCCAAGGTCAGGCATCAGGTAAGCAGTGGAACTGGGCTGGCCAGTCAGGATTCATGCAGGTGTGCGGTATTTGGGGAGAGGATAAAACTGATCTTGGGCGGTTGCGGGGAACTGAGGGCTTCGGAAATCCAGACAGGGAAAGCAGGGGGCCACAGATGTGGGAAGGGCCTGATAAATGGGGGTCCACGAGAGGGGGCCTTTGAGAGCCTAGTGAAAACTATAGCCTGCATCCCCCAAAGGGCCTGAGTATTCTCTCTCTCTCTCACACATGCAGATGCACATCTCCAAAAGCATGTTTCCCAGGCAGAATTTTCATAAGTACCCTGGCAGCGACATTGTAAAATGGGCTTCTGTCTTCCTAGGCAGATGCAGAATCCACAATGCATTGCGATGAATTCAGTCCATTTCTGTCATCAGATCATAGTGATGCCAAAGAGAAGACTATCCTGCTCTCTACTCATTTTGTCCTCCAGTGGGAACCATTTGGTCCTGTTGAGTCCCTGTTTTTCCACCTGCACAGGAAGCATGTGGCCAGTTTCACTCACTTCACATGGTGTTTGCAGGATGGGCAGGTGTTGGTTAAAAGCCACAGCCCAGCACAAATGGAACCCAAATTCCAGTCCCAGCTTGGTCTAACTACCTGAGGTCAACCCAGGGCACAGCCAGGCCGCAGTTCTTCTCTGCAGTGCTCATGGCGTCTCCAGCCCAGCCCAGTCCCAGCCCCACTTCCCAAACCTTTATGTGGGAACACTCTCCTCTCCCACAGATCGGGAAACTTGTCGATGTGGTCCAGCCGTTTGCCCTGAGCAAGTCACAGTTTGGGATGGAGGATGCACCCTTTGATGGCATCCTGGGCTTGGGCTACCGCAGCCTCGCCATCCAAGGGACCACCCCTGTCTTCGACAACCTGAAGAGACGAGGCGTCATTTCTCAGCCTGTCTTTGCCTTCTACTTGAGCACGTAAGTCTGAACTGCACAAGCCCTCTCTCTAAGTCAGCTGTAAGATGCTTTCAGTTGCATGAAAAGTTGTAGCTCACCTGATCCAGAAGTTTCCTGAGAGACAGTCTAGCCCGGGATAACTATGGCCCCAGGGCCACATCTAGCCCTGCCACTGGTTTTTGTAAATAAAGTTTTATGGGAACACAAGCATGCTCATGGGCTCAGGGGCAGCAGCTTGGTCCAGGGGGTGTGAGCCATGGCCGCTGAGCCTGCGCGTCCGGAGCCTGTGCTCCGCAACGGGAGAGGCCACAACAGTGAGAGGCCCGCATACCGAAAAAATAAAAAAATAAAAAAAGTATTAGGAATTTCAAGACAGGGATAGCAGAGGCTCAGGGCCCTGCTGAGTGTGAGGCCCCATGGATGGCACAGGTCACACACGCTGGTGAAGCCAACCCTGGGTGAGCCTGAACCCACACCCTTGGCACCCTCGGGCCTCGGCTTTTCTGAACAATGACAAGCTAGGCGAGGGGGCAGCCAGACCCCTCCGGCACGGTGTCCTCTGAGGGTATCTCTGAGCACTCTGGTTGCTGGAGGGGACCGGGCCCTCTTCAGATGGGTGGGTGGTCGGAGCCCAGCCAGGCTGCCCAGCTTCGAACCCCTTCTGTGCCACTCACTAGTCGGTGACCCACCTCGGACAGGTCCTCAATCCCTCCGGGCCTCAATTTCCGTCTCTGTAAAATGGGGACCCTAATAGTGCCTCGGATGGGTGGAGAAGCACAGCCCTCAGACAGTGTCTGCCGTTATTCTCCTACAACGAGCCCTCCCTCTTCCTTCTCTCCTCAGCCAGAAGGAGAATGGCAGCATGTTGATGTTGGGTGGGGTGGACCACAGATACCACAAAGGAAAGCTCCAGTGGATACCAGTGTCCCAACCCCACTACTGGCAGATAACCATGAACCGGTAAGCCTCTCCCTCTGAGGGCCACCCCAAGTGATGCTCCCACACGTGCACACGGACACATGCAGACACACAAATAAACGCACAGACACACAGTCACACACACAGATATACGCTCCACCCCCAAAGACACACGTATAAACACAGGCACAGGCACACAGATACACACAGAAACACACACAGATACACGTACAGACATACAGACACACAGATAGACACACCACCCATGGGTTCATAATCACCCCAGGCCCCTGAACAGGGCTCTGACCAGAGTCCTGAACAGGGTTCAGAGAGAAGTGTGCAGCCCAAGAGGGCTGCACCCACCATGCTGTAAGGCAGGGAGCACGGTTTGAAGACCCTAAAGTGCAGTGAAAAGAGGATCAGGGAGGATTTCACCAGCCTGAACAGGGTTGTGATAAGTTGACCAACTGTCTAGGGACCCAGGGAGCTCTCACTACACAAAACTAACAGTTTCAAAACAGGGAAAGTCCTGGACAAACCAGGAAAACTGGTTTCCTTAGGGAGAAACTCCCCAGCAGTGGAGAGAGGTTGGCTGCATTCTTGAGACCTGAAAGCAACTCATACAAAGAGACACTCCCCCCACCCATAGCCACCCCCCATCCCGGGCACACAGTGGGGCGGGGGCTGTGACAGAGAGAATCAGGAAGCCGGGATCCAGGAGTGGCCTGAGAACAAGGGGCTATAATTGACGGGATTCTGAGTGATACCCTCAGACAAAAGCTTACGTGTCCTTTGGAGGCCCCCTGGGCTAGCTCAGGCATCGCCTGGCCGGGGCCCTCAGTGTCTGAGCTGTGTGGGTGGGCCATGCTGGGAGACAGCCTCTCCCAGGGCAGCCTGTGCCTCCGACACCCCTGCTCTCAGCAACTGCTGCCCCGGGGAACCCCCATCTTCACTGTGTGGGTTGACCCGTTATCGGTCACGCAGCACATACAGGGCTCTGGTTGTTCCTCATCCACTTTTTCATTCATTCATTCATTCAACAAACATACATTGTGCATCCGCTGTGTGCTAGGCACTTGAGAGAGGCACTGAGGCTACAACTTGCCCTTACATCTAGTAAGGCAGACGTACATGAAACGAGTCACACACATAATAATGAATTTCCACTTCGGTACATGCTAGAAATGAGGAGGAGTCTACAGAGAGTGACCAAGACAGGAGCCTGATCTAGTCTGGGGGGAAGATTTCCCTGAAAAAATGACAAGTAAGCTGGAACCTGGAAGATGAGGAGAAATTAGCTAGACAAAGGGGATGGGGGTCTTCTAGGAAGGGCGACCAGCACATGCCAAGGCCCTGAGGCACCAAAGAGCCTGATGCACTCCGGAACTGAAAGGAAGTCAGCGAAGGTTAGGTGACCAGAGCAAAGGAAAACAGAGTCAGGGCGTGAGCTGAAGGGAGACAGTCAGGGAGGGGAGCGGTCATGGGTTGAGACTTCACAGTGATCCTGGTGTCCACTCTGTCCCACTGTCTCCCAGCATCACCATGAACGGTGTGGTTTTTGGTTGTTTCCGCGGCTGCCAGGCCATTTTGGATACCGGGACCTCGCTGGTGCTCGGCCCGAGCCGACTGGTCACCGCCATCCAGATGCTCATCAGCGCCAGCCCTGTCGGTCACGAGGTGACAGGTCACGCCACGGGGTCACGAGGTGAAGGGTCACGCCACAGGGTCACACACCAGGGATCACCTGGGCCAACCTCTCTCCCTCTTCCTCTGACAGTATGCAGTTTCATGCAGCTACGTGGCTCGCCTGCCTACCATCATCTTCAGCATCAACGGCAACGACTACCCGCTGCCTCCACAAGCCTACATCAGAAAGGTGAAGGGCCAGCCCTGGTGCAATTGCAGGAACCCTTGGGCTCCTGCTTGCGGGAGGGCGCCCTCTGCAGGCCAAGCCACACCATTGCAGATGCCATGGAGCCCCTGTGGCTGGGCCAGTGCCTCCCACAAAACCAACCACTTGAGAGTAAGGGGCAGTCTGGGACTTCCATCATCCTGAAATAAATGGAACACTACCGCGTGCCGGCCTGGTGCGAGGCACAAGGAGAAGGGGACACTAAGGGCCTCTGCCCTCAAAGAGCTTCAGTTCAACCTGAGCCCTCAGATAGATGAACACGGAAAGTCAGCTCTAGCAATCCCTGCAATAGGCCAAGTGACAAGTGGGGTGGGTGGGCACAGTCTCAGTGTGTTGTCCCACCATAATGGTTAACGGTCTCCCTCCCACCTCGAAGGTGTCCTGGTTTGGATGACAAATTACATGGCGACCCTCGTCCTCGCCTGCGACTTCCCCTTGCTAAGCCCCAGTTCCCACTCTGTGAGTTGGGGTACCAGAGCCCTCTGTGGGGAGGCTGCACGCTCCCGTGAATTAAGGGTGCACAGTGACCGCACGGCCGTTGCACAGGGTTGAGGCTCAATGTCAGCTCCCTATGGGAGTTCAGAGGAGGCTGATGGGCTCAAAGGCTTTGAGGAAGAAAGGGGATTTCAGTCATTCTAAACCCCCAGCCTCATGGAGGCTCGAGGAGGCCTACATGGGTCCAGGCGAATCTACACTGGACCCCATGCAAATGGCACCTCTGGGGGCTGAGCCGAGGGGTGCCGGGCACAGATTAGACTGATGAGGGCTGTACACAAGGGAGCACCAGGGTGAGTCACCCAACCCGGCCTGGAGTGGCCAGGGAGGGCGAGCGTGGGGCCAGGAAGCCTTCCTAGAGGGGCTGAGCGCGGCCTCTAAGAACGGGTCGTGGGGAAGAGGGAGAAGCAAAGGCATTCCCTGCAGAGGAAACGGCGAGCAGGGTCAGAAGGAAAGAAACAGCACAAGATGAGGGGATTTACAGGCCATTCTTGCTCTTTTTAACATTTTATTCAAGTATAGTTGATATACAATGTTGTGTTAATTTCTGCTGTACAGCAAACTGACTCAGTTATACATGTATTTGTATCCTTTTTCTTATTCTTTTCCACTAGTTTATCACGGGATCTTGAATAGAGCTCCCTGGGCTCTACAGCAGGGTCTTGTTGTTTACCCATCCTCTCTATAGTGCTTTGCATCTGCTAATCCCAAACTCCCGTCCTCCCCTCCCCCAGCCCCTCTCCCTCATGGCAACCACATGCCTTGGCCGTTCTCGGTCTTGGATGGGCACCCCACTTCCGCAGCTGCTGAGAGAGCCCCTTGGTTCTTACCAAAGGAGGGAAATAAAACGGAGAAGCTGCCGGCTCCGGGTGCCGAGACGGTGGCAGGTAAGGGCTCAGGCTGACTGGTGTGCATTTCCGTCTCCCCCAGAACCTTCGGGGCCAATGCTTCAGCAACTTTGGAGGGGGCACAGAGAACATGAGCCACTCGGAGACCTGGATCCTGGGCGACGTCTTCCTGAGGCTGTATTTCTCGGTTTACGATCGGGGAAACAACAGGGTTGGCCTGGCTCCCGCAGTGTAAAGGCTGGGGCCGCTTCAGCAGTCAGGCCCCCTCCAAACACACACTCACTCGCACGTAGGGCACTCCCGCCCAGGGATGGCGGTGGGCTGTGGTGCTCTGCAAAGCCCCGTTCTCAGCAAAGAATAAAAGTTTCCGTTCTCAGCGGTGCTAATACAAATGAGTGCCTCTCTTTGGGTCGGGGAGGTGCATCATGATCGGGCAGGATCTGAACCACAAGTGAGAGGAGCCCAACTGCAACTGGCTTCAAGGAAAGGGGAGACTTACTGGAAGGACACTGGGGATCTGGGACACAGGAACCACAGCAGATGCGAAGATCTCAGTGACTGGACCCAAGAAATCAGCTCCCTCTTTCTCTCCCTCACTCTTTCCCGTCTCTCATCTTTGATTCTCTTAGCCTGACAACTTTCTTCCCTCACACTTCTACACATATATCCCTAACGCGTCTAATCCCTAAGGAAAGAAGCTCCGAAAAACCTCAGGATACCAAGGAGGGCTCTGATTGGGCCACTTCAGATCACGTGTCCAGCCCTGGAGCAACAATCCTGGCGGGGGGGCTTGGGGGTACTATGATTGGCTTTACTTGATCACGTGGCCCTGCCCAACGTGATTGACAGTCTCCTCCAGCACCACGTGACTGCAGCTGGGGCGAGGCAGCCCCCAAGGAAGTGGCCGTGAGTGTTCTAGACAGTGGAAGAGTTTGTGATGGCCCCCACCAACTCCACCCCCTCCTCTTTCAGAGGGATGGTAACGGGTAATAAAAATACCTTCTACCCTTCCCATCTCACAGGACCTTTGGCAGTGGCCTGCTCCAGGGGGGTTCTGGGTGAGGCCCTTCAAGCTGAGATGGTTCCCCTTTGTCCCCCCCACCCCAGTCACCAGCTCTCTGCCACCCACACCTGCAGTGTCCTTTCTAGTCCCACTTCCCAAGTGATGGGCCGTGTGGATCCCTGAGCCATGCCCACCCCTCCAGGGCCCAGCATGCTCCTTCCCTTGGCCTCCAAGGCTGCTGGCGAGGATGCCACGCATGTAAAGGGGCCCCAGGGTGCACTAAGCCTTCAGCCTTTCTGAGCTTCCTCCAGGGGCAGAGCTGCAAACCACTGGTTCGAGCTGCCATGGTTTGGCACATTTGGAGTGGAAGCATCACTTCTTCCCACCTGGAAGCAGAGGCCCAGGCTGGGGACAGCAGGGGTCAGAGGTGGAGGGAGACCCACATGAGAGAAGGAGCAGGGAAGAATAAACAAGGTGGAAAACACACCCGACGCAATGCACGGTATGGGCCTTTACTCAGGCAAGACAAATCAGCGAAAGGGACGACGCCCTTCCTTCCTCATCTCTCCATTCAGGACAAATTTACTGAGCACCTACTATGTGCCAGGTGCTGTGGTGGACCCCAGGGATAGAGGGCTGGGTTAGGAACCCACCACCGATTCATGGAGACAGATAAAGAGACAACCCCCAATGGGGAGGGCCAGATGGAGAAAGCAACACAGGTGTGGGTAGGGGGCCAGAGGAGTGAGGGGCTTCCTCTTCAGGGACCAGGGAAAGGCTGCAGTCGGGCGAGAGGAGGGCATTAACTTCAGTCTTGTCACCCCACCCTGAAACACACCCCTAAGCCTTGCAGTTACCTTCTCTGTGCACACCTGCCGTATGTCCACGGTTACGTGGGCCTGGTCCCCCTGGGGTGCCACTGGATTATGATCGGCTTGAGGGGGGTGAAAGAGGACTGGTTGCAGAGCTGATAAAGGGGGAAAAGGTGAGAGCAGAAATGGCATTTTTTTTTAAACAGCAAATATCATGCACTGGGCTTAATGGAGACTCAAGTGAACAGTTTGTCAAACTCATTTTCCAAGTGGTCTTCATGGAACCATAAGCAATGTCTGTGTGGGGGAGAAACTACCAATAAGAGTAAGAATAGTAGCTCTGGTTAATTACATATGCATTTCACTGTCTCCCCATGAGCCCCTGCGGGGCATGACCCCCATTGTACAGATGAAGGAAGTCTCCTCCAATCTTCTGGCTCCAGTAGTGGTTACAGGCACATCGTAGGGCCTCAATAAATACATGTTGAATAAATGAATGGATGAATTAGGAGATGCTTCCACTAGAACGCACTGCTGCATCCATGTCGGGAGACATATGGTGTCAGCGTGGCTTACTGCCGTAATATCAAGCAGAAAAAGTCAGGCTTTGCCTCCCTAGATGAGCCTAAGGCCAGGGCTGGAGCTGTGTCGGTTAATGGGCCCACTGTTCCTGAGGCTCTATATTTGTAGCCTGTGCTACCAACATGAGGAGAAATTCTGATCTTCATCAACTTTTTAATTTTATTTCTATTTTTTTGTCTGCGCTGCATAGCATGTGGGATCTTAATTCCCCAACCAGGGTCAAACCCATGTCCTCTGCATTGGCAGTGTGGAATCTTAACCACTGGACCGCCAGGTAAGTCCCAAAGTCTTATCTTCGAAGCAACAATCTTCCCCCACCTTCCACTTTTATCCTTTACCCAATGCAGACCAAAGAGACTTATAGCCACCGGTGAGAGCAAAGGTAGAAAAAACAGGGAAAGATAGATCTTGAACCTTCTTGAAAGACTGTAAATTGGTACAATCTTTTTGGAATGACTTGTTCTTAAAATATGTATAGTCTTGTCCCAGTAATTTTGCTTCTAAGGTTTATGCTAAAGCGATGATCAGAAGCACCCGCAAACATAAATAAGCAGGATGTAGTCCTCAGAGTCTCCTGCAAAAGGGAAAATCTGGGACGTCCCAGGCCCAGTAAACATAAAGTGTCCACAGCATAGATAGGCCATCATGCAACCAACCGCCTTAAAATTGTGTTTCAGCAGAACATTTAATGTTATGAGAAATCATTCCAATATGACATTGAGAGAAAAGAACAGAATACAAAACAGCATGATCCCAGGTTTGCTAAGCACATGGAAGACAGTGCAGCGTACTCGCCAGGCACGTACATCCTGGAGCTTTTCTGCCTGGGTTCAAATCCCACCTCTGACCCTTACCAGTCATGTGACCTTGGTAAGTTCATCTCTGGACATCAGTTTCCTATTCTGTAAATTTGGGATAAGCTCAGTTCCTCCCTCACTAATCATCAAGAAAATGCAAATCAAATGACAATGAGATACCATCTCCCATCAGTTAGGATGGTCATTATCAAAAAACAAAAGATAACAAGTGTTGACGAGGATGTGGAACCCTGTACACTGTTGGTGGGGATGTAAAATGATGTAACCGCTGGAAAACAGAATGGAGGCTCCTCAAAAACTTAAAAAGAGAATTACTATTTGATCCAGCAATCCCACTTCTGGGTATGTATTCCAAAAAATTAACACCATGATCTCAAAGGGATATTTGTCCTGTCATGTACGTTGCAACATCATTCACAATAGCCAAGATGTAGAAACAACTTAGCTCCATCAACAGTTGAATGGATAAAGGAAATGTGGTAGAGATATACAATGGAATATTATTGAGCCTTTAAAAAAGAAGGAAATCTTGCCATTTTCAACCATATAGATGAAACTTGAGGATGTTATGCTAAGTGAGATAAGCAGGACAAATCAAGAAGGACGAATACAGTATGATTCCACCCATATAAGTTATCTAAAATAGTCAAACTCATAGAAGCAGAGAGTAAAATGATGGTTGTCAGGGGTCAGGGAGGGGGAAAATGTGGAGTTGCTATTCATCTGATACGAAGTTTCAGTTACACAAGCTGAGTAGGTTCTAGAGATCTGCTGTGCGGCTTGGTGCTTATCGTTAACAATAGTGTATTGTGCACTTGATATTTCGTTAAGATAGTAGATCTCATGTTAAATGTTATTACTACAATAAATAAAAAAACACATAAATACCTTGTAAAAAATGAATAGTCCTTTTCTTAATCAGAGAAATGCAATTTGTTTATTTTATTTTTATAAATTCATTTCTTTATGTACTTATTTATGGCTGTGTTGGGTCTTCCTTGCTGCACGTGGGCTTTCTCTAGTTGTGGTGAGCGGGGACTACTCTTCGTTGTGGTGCGCGGGCTTCTTATTGCAGTGGCTTCTCTTGTTGCAGAGTACGGGCCCTAGGCACACGGGCTTCAGTAGTTATGGCACACGGGCTCAGTAGTTGTGGCTCGCGGGCTCTAGAGCACAGGCTCAGTAGTTGTGGCGCACAGGCTTAGTTGCTCCGCGGCATGTGGGATCTTCCTGGACCAGGGCTTGAACCCGTGTCCCCTGCATTGGCAGGCGGATTCTTAACCACTGTGCCACCAGGGAAGCCCTGAATAGTCTTTTCTAATTGGAGGGAAGGGAGTAGAGTTTTACTGCCAATATGTGCAGAGTTTCTTTCTGGGGTGTTGAAAATGTTCTAAATTTAAATCATGATGATGGGTGTACAACTTCATGAATATATGAAAAACCACTAAACTGTACCCCTTAATTGGTAGAAATTATGATATTTGAAATACAACTCAATCAGACAGATATATAGATATACAGGAAAGAATAGTCCCTAACCCTTCTAGAGCTATAGTGAGGATTACATTAATATCTATAGAAAACCTTTAGGACAGTGCCTGACACACAGTAGCATGAGCTGTTTGTTATTCTTTCACTCGTACCCCAGAGAAGGACCAAATGTGTGTAACAGTGGTTACATAAAGATGGTAGCAATATGGGCAGTTTTTCCCCTTATCTTATGCTTGTCTTAGGTTTTTCAGGAATGGCGTTTAAGATCAGGGGAAAGCTGAGCATTATTCTATAAAAGACAGAGGCTTCTGACAAAGAGAGGACCTTCTCTTTGCTGGAGTTGCCTGAGGGAGCAAATTGATTCCCATAGAAAAAGCATCCTGGAAGGGGTGGTGAAGCACTGACATCTAGTGGCCAAGATGGATATTGCAGGCACATTCCGCATGGTCTTACCACTCTGCCGGGGGACCTGCCCATTGTTTCCAACTACTGATACTTGTAAGGGCTATTTAGCAACATGAAAGCACTGTCACATCAACTCTCCCACATTTAGACCTGATAATCACACTTTGACAAATGGATTCCAAATATATATATTTAGCTATAAATATTGT